AATTCCCACTGTCCCCCCGACCAGTTATAAATATTCATGGGGTGTTTAAGGCAGCCAATCACACAAATATTTAATATTCATACATACCACAGAGGGAATTCAACATACATTTCTTGTAGGCTCTTCCTTATGTAACGTTTGAGCGCATTACCTCTGCGGACGGAGACACGATTTTATGAACAGCAGATGAGATCCTATGCTGATGCAAAAAGTCTTCCTTCTTGGACGCTCACCACGCTCCAGATTACATTGGTAATGTCAGTATCAGAGAAACAGCTTTATTATTGATTCTTCCGCATCAATTGGGAAGAAAACAGATGTCATCCGTAGTTATCGGTAAGGAACTAGGCTGTGTCATGATGAAGCCAACTAATGGTAGCACGTTGTGCCACAGAGAAGAGCTGCCAGGGACTAGGTGCAAGTGTACTGGCAGGGACTAGTGCCAGGGACTAGTGCCTTCCTCAGCAGGCTCAGATGGCCATGAGTCAGGCTCGCTACCTCCTCCCCATCGCAGCAAGGGTTAGTCCATCGCAGAAGACTGTATTTCTTTCTAGCAATGTACACAAAGACAAAACTCTGAGAAGTCATGCTGTTCTGTCTCACTCACCTGGACAGCCACAAAGATGGCATGGTCACCTGGATTGTTCTCCATTACAGAAGTCCAGGGGACATGCTGATGAGAGTTACGTCGAATCCAAATTTATGTTTTAAAGAATATCATTACACTACACGTTTGAAGAACCAGCAACCCTTGAGCAGTCTGCATAAAGGAATTAATGAGAAAACAAAAAGAGAGAGGATGCTGCCATAGGTCCTAGCAAGAAGAGGCTTTATGAGTTTGCAGGTGCTGTGCAACAAGCAGCGATTCAGAGCGCTGCAGCTCATCACAATACAGCGAGGTGCGAGTGGTCCTTAGGGAAGCACGTGGCTCTCAGAGCAAGCAAAGGCTGAGATTTCTGGCGAATTACAGACTGCAACTCACTGGCTCTGCTAACAGACCCATCCGATTGTATAATTATAGCAATAAGGCTGCTTCAGGTATTTCACTGGTAAAAAGCCAAAGTTGCGTAGGAAAGAGATTTTCACATCTTTGCTTTACTAAATGAGTCAAAGTAGGGATTACCACGTCTCATACAAACAAAAGCGGAAGTTTGGACTTTCATAGTGAGGGCTAGACTACTTGCTTTTAGGTAGATGTTACATAGATGCAGCTTTCTTTTGTATAATGACATGTTTAACAAAGAGACCCTTAGCAGAAAGCTAGAGTTATTTCATTTCCTTTGTATCGCTATAGTTCAGTGCTGTTTACTAAAACATTACTATTTGAGGTGGTAATGAGGGTTAGATAAACCTCCATTAATTGTGGATACATCAAAGCAGGTGTAGAAACACCAGAAGAATAAAATTTCTGTTTGTGTCTGATCCATTAGTCACTTTTACTTAGACCTAGAGAACTGCAGCCATGCTCCTCTATCTGTTGAGCATGTACTCCTGATAAGGACTCCAGCCACATCTGATGGGCATCAAAGCAATTTTCCCTCTTAAGATTGATGCAAGGGATGGAGGGGTGCATGCAGACACTTGAAAAATAACACACAACTGAATATACAGGGCACATTGTGTGTATATGCATAGAGCAGTATGTGTATATGGCATAGAGGAGGAACAGCAGAAGTGGGACCATTCAGGCATCAACTGGAGAAGGTGATGGCTTTTTGAGAAGGATGACTGTCCTCAAAGATCTCAGCTGCTTCAACCAGGAGACGCAACATAAATCTTAGCCTGAGCATTTCTGCTTTCTCTCTCTGAATGCTTACTTTTTCATTGTCACCATCGTCTTCTTCAGATGAATCACAATCAATCAAATTTGAAGAATGGAAGAACGATGAGTGAGTGAAGCATGGTGTTAAAACATCAGCAATGGCACCCCAAAAAAAAAGCGAACAAGGGACAGCGAGGTGCTGCTGTGCCTCCCATTTAAATGTTTCGGACATCAGTCAGAAGCACAGAAAGAAAAATACAAATGCAAAATACTTGCATATGTGCTAAACCAAACATAAAGGAACTCTGTATTCAAGTGTTTTGGCTGCAGTACTCTATATGTGTAAATAAATTTCACATTCAGCCCCAGATGCCCATGTTGTCTTAAAGTATGTATGTGCATGTGTGTGTCTATTATCAGCAGAGCTGTGCATGTGTTTGAAGAAGACTGAATCACCTGGTGACCACTTTTGATTTTTAAACTTCTGTATGTCAGCGTTACTGAACATGATACAGGCATGCTTTCCAACCCAGTGCTCAGCTCGAGCGCTCGCAGCCAGAAATACTGCTCCAGCTAACACGTACTGCTCTCTCCCTCGTACTACTTTTCCTGGAACAAAGTGCAAATCTGCAAAGTACAAGTTCACCAGGAAAGACAGCGCAGTCAAGGCAGCTGGTTGACTGTTTATGTGTCACAAGGAGTGCCCTATTGGAAAGAAATCATCTTCAGTTGCTGGCCCCCAGCTTGGTCCAGCCCTATGAAGGTATACAATGTTCTTCTTGGAAAAAATTGCTCATATGAACATATCTTTCCCACAATATGCAGGAAATTTCAGTGAGAAAGGTATGTGTCAACACTGATGTTCTGGTAGTTTCTATGTATTTGTTAAAAATATGCCCCGAATAATATGCTTTCTATTTGGTTAAGTTGCATTTGGAGACAGCAAAGACACTGTACTTAGCTATTTGATAATTCCATTATAATTCCATATTCATTGTTCTCAGTGCTGGTGCTTTGAGACCACATATGCAAGCAGGTGAAGAAAGGATGGGTGAATTTCTCCCTTGGGCTGTCTCTTCTGCACAGGTAGAATCAGGCAGCTGGGATGGACAATTCCAGTAGATGCTATTAACTACCAAGTGCTTACTGTTAAATCCAACAATGGCAACACAATCTTAGATGCAAGAAAATTTCCAGCTGCACATTGTCAGCAACAAGAAGACACTGCCAGAGAAAAAAAAAATCACTCTGTATTTGGCTTTCCTTACACTCTTTTTTTACATATTCACTATTGGTCCCTGCTGGAAGAAGCATATCAGGGTGGATGCATCTTTGTTTTGGCCAGTTCAGACATTCTTTTGTTTTATTTTCTCTCTTTTCAGACCAACAGGCTAAATTCTTAGGAGAAATAACAAAATTGGGCTTCCACGGTGGTGAGTTGATTCATCTCTCCAACTCCTTCGCTCCCAGCATAAACTGCTCTTTCTGGAGGCACTTCAAGAGCCATTGCTACCCAGCTGGCTTTGGTGTAAAGAAGGGCAGATTTGGAAGAGCTGACTTGAACTGCACTATCACCACAACAAGGAGGAGTGCAAGGTCCTGTGTCTGACACAGAACAACCCCATGCATCAGTTTGTCTGAGCAACAGGCCTTTCTGAAAAGATCCTGCTAGTTATGGTGGCTCCACCACTGAATATAAGCCAGCAGTGCAAAGGTGGCAAATCACATCACATCAGGGCCTTGAGCAAGATGATCTAACTTTGCAACTGGATCTAACTTCAAACCCTGCATGGGTGTAGGACCAGGAGACCTCCAGTGGGCCCTTCCTACCTGAATGAACATGACTAATTGGTAGAGGTGGCCAATGGAATAGGAGGCAAAATTCACAGGCCGAGCCTTGGGATATTCAGATTGCAGATGAAGAAACACTTCTCCCCCAACAGAGGTGCAGTCTTGGGACAGCTCACCAGCGATTTGGGGGACCTCCATACTGATTTTTCTTTAAAACCTCAGCTAGACAAGGCACAGCTGCCCCGACCTTGTGTTAGCACAGCAGTGAGTGGGAGCTGGAGTAGAGATCTTCAGAAGTCCTGACCACCAGCACCACTATTATACTGTGACACTCCCTCATGGTATCTTACTACATTAAATCAAATGTTTACAGTGTAAGAGAGGGAAGGCAAGCCCAACCTTATGGCTGTTTTCTAGCATGGTGACAGCATGTAGATCTAAGGGTGATGGGCAAGGTTTTCAATGCCCTGTCCAGCAGGTACTAACATCACTGATGTCCGCAGACTGCAGGCAGGAAACAATGAATCCCAACTGAATAAGGAAGACTAGAAACAGAAGTCTCCCAGGTCTAAATCGGAACATGCTTTAGCGCAGTGTATTTGCTAATACTTAATAATTACATATCAGGCAGCAGCTGATTTTGAAAATCCTTCCTTATTCTGTGACAATGAGTCACAGCACTTCGTAGGTCACCACAAAGGTGGGTAGGTTTTTACCCCCGCTTCACGGATGTGGTTAAACCTGGTCATTGTCACAACAGAATCGGGAAGCGTTTTCAGCTCCTAATGACCTTGATTAAACTCAAATGCTAGCGGGTTTTTTTGAGCTATTCTATGCCAACACACTCTTGGTATATGAAATACATTTAATAAATAAAACATATACTTACTCAACTGCCATCCTCCAGAAACAGATGAGAAGTATCTGCCTTGTGGGATGTTCTCCAAGCTTTACCGAGCAGCCGTACTATGTGCAGTCATTTCAAGGATTTTCCGTGATTATAAAAGCACACTGGCTAACTCTGAATTAGACTGAACAGCCTCAATTATATAACTCTTTACTAGTTCCAAGCGTGCTTAGTGGAAAGAACGGGAGTTGTAAAGTAATGGATGATGGGAGATAAATTGGCATGTGTATGAATCAATGTTTAAACAAAGAAACTCCAGCTCTTTCTTGGAATAGCAACATTTTGAAGTCTCAAATCCCCTGACACTGGTTTCATAAATGCAGTAACGTAAACCATGTGCTGGGTGGTGATTTTCTGAGGACCTTCCCCCTTTCATTGTGTATTTTATTACAGGCCAAATGTGACATTAAATGCTATCCGCTGCGGCTTGGAGTTAAATACTCACTCTGTTCAGAATAGCAACACTCAATTAAACAGCATTTTTCATGATCTACACCCTCCATTGTCAATGCGTTTAAGGGAAATAATGGGAGCACTGACCTATATTGCGTTTCTTATTATCGATGGAGATGAAGCGTATGCAGGGATTATCAGTGATGTACCGTGCAGCCCAGGGGACATCAATCCGTGTACTGGCTTCATAAAAAAGTCCCAGAGCGTAGCGGGAGGAGTAGCTCGCAGATTCCAGTTGCTGCTTTTGACTTCCATTAATTACTGTGGAAAAAAAAAAAAAAAAAGAAAGAAGAAGAAAAATCAGGCAATCCCTCTTCTCTCAGAACATTAAATGTGTGAATGCTGTGGTTAAGCTGATTATTCCTTCCTGAAAATGACCAGACTGCTAAAACTAAGAATTTAATATTAAGCCTAGTGCTTTGTAATATTTTTTCTGGGACACCTCTTCATGAAGTTTTAATGGTGCATTATGTAGAGTATGTCCTTCACATGCAACACTCCCCCTTCTGCTGGTGGTTTATCTCCCAGTTCTCTGCTAGTTGCCTCTGACGTGAAACTCTGATGACTGGTGACTTTTTTCCAAATCTTTTCTCAAAGGGTGAATAAATGGGAATAAGAGGTTTGAGCTGCCTCTAGCACATCAAGTAAATGATTGTATGACTCTGCAAAAACCCAAATGACTTCACATATCAACAAAATGAACTCAGGGACTCTTGAATCTCTGGGGAAAATAGTCCTGCAACTTCTGTGTTGCAATTCAAATGGATGAAGAAAACTCTGCACGTCAGCACACAAAGGGTTCATAGTGAAGTTCAGCTCTGTCAGCTGATGGTATTTTAAAGCAGTTTAGAAAATTTCAGAGCAAATACAACTTCATTCCTCCCTATGATTAACTCTTCTATCTTCTAATTACAGGAAGATCTGCTTTTTGCCTCGATTTCATAATCTTCAGAAAAAGCTGCACAAAGTAGCATTAGCCCCACTGTGCATTCAAATACAATTTATTTCATGCCAAAGAGAAATACAACAGTTTGATTAATTGTGGAGTTAGGTACCACGTCTCTCTTCCTTCTACCGAGTAGACAGTTGACACTTCTGCGAGCTGGAGCAGGGTGTGCAAAGACAAATCACAGCAGTCTCCCGCCTGTATGTGAAACTGCATGCTCTGCTGGGCTTGTTTGGAGATTTGATATTGAGAGGCAAAAGAACAGCAATCGGGGTGCTTCATTTTATGCAAAATTCAGACAACATGATGAACATCTTGTATGAAGAAAGGAGCAGCTGGTGGTATCCACCATAGAAGCACAGAAATCATTAAGGTTGGAAAAGACCTCTAAAACCAAGTCCAACCGTCAACCCAACACCCCCACACCCACTAAACCATGTTCCGAAGTGCCACGTCTATGCGGTTTTTTTTAACACCTCCAGTGATGGTGACTCCACCACCTCCCTGGGCAGCCTGTTCCAGTGTTTGATCAGTCTTTCAGAAAAGAAATTTTTCCTAATATCCAGTCTAAACCTCCCTTGGTGCAACTTGAGGCCATTTCCTCCCATCCTAATGGCACTTCCCACAGGCAGCAGACCAGGTGTTGAGTGGTATCTTCAGAAAGACTTCAGCAGAAGTCCTGCCTCAGGGCAGACCAGCCCCATGTGTGGGGCAGACTGGGATGGGTTGGAGCGGGGCAGCTCTCCATGTAAGAGAGAGGCATCTGCACACTCGTGCACACCAAGCTGGCCAGGAGTCACAGCAATGAAGGCCAACCAGCCCAGTGTGAGAGCATCCAGCAGGTCAAGGGAAGATATTACTCCCTTTGAGTAAGGCCACATCTGGACATGCTGTGCAGTTTGTTGTGCCCCCTCAGTACAAGGGAGACAACAACAAAGTGGATGAAGTCCTGTGCAGGGTCACTAATGTGGTCCACTAAAGGGGGTCTCCATTCCTGGGGACTGCCCTGACACACAAACACGGCCCCAAACAACAGGCTGCAGCTGCAGTGTTGGACCTGCTGGGAGCGGTGTTAGGATGAAGACCCCCACCCTGGTGCCTCCATCTGGAGATGGTGGGACTGGGCAATTCTGCATACCTTACCCACACCACAGCCACCTCCATGCAACTGCAATTAACATGCTTCAAAGAAGAACCCTGGCATGACTGACCTCACTGTCATGACTAATGCTGCTCCTCAGAACTTGCAACCAGGATGGCTTCATCACACGCTCACCCCACCAGCACATGCTCTCTTCCTGGGAACCGATACGTCCTGCTGTGCCAAGGCGAGACTCTAGGAACCAGGGCTATAAATCAAACCTCCGTGCATGGTGCCATGATGCAGGCACTCCTGGCTCACGCAGTGCCGGCCAGGGGCAGGGGTCCAGCAGCACGGGCAGAGCGTTTTCTAGCAGGATGCACATTTGAGAGCACATTTGGTCATGTTGAGAACTCCTTGCAACAACTGCCGCTAAACCTGTAAGGCTTACATACCACTGGTCTGCATCAAGGTCCATTCCCACCATCACTACTGGCATACTCCCTTCACAAAGAGCATCAAGGCTGCCTGTATTCAGAGTTTATTTCCATGCAGAGGATGAGGAGCAGGGGAGAGCGTCATTCCTCTATCAATCCTGGTGGAGAGGAGGGCTGGTGTCACCCCAGGTCTTACCAACCTGTGGGTGACCATTTCAGCTGCGCAAGTCTACAGTCCAAACCCCTTGTCATGACTGGTCCATTCTGGCAACATTCCATGTTCCACATTTTTGGGCAGGGACACAATTCATGTCCCTATTCAGTGACCTCTGAGAGGCACCATAAGTAAGCCATGAAGACTACTACGTCTCAGAGGCCTTGGCGAACCACCAGAGAAGGTTCACCAAGGATATCAAGTCCACTCTTCACAGACAGGTGCATTCTACAGGAGGATGCATGGTCTGCAGTCACAGTCTCTCCTGAAAACCCACCAGGCTACTCATAGGTATCTGCCCCATCCTGTTGTTTCTCTAGTTGCCTATTTTTTCTGTGATGTCTCTCCACTCTATTCCTCTGCACGTCATGGAGAAGACTGATTTCAGAGGCTGCTTTGTGCCTCCTCCCCTGAAACAGTGACCTCATGTACAGAGTGCTCTCCTAACTGAGGTTCCTGGCTGGTCTCCCCCACCCCATCATGACCTCCGCACACGCCTTTCCTAATCAACAGCACACCAGAGGATCACCAGTCAGATTCCAGCTCAAATCCCATCAGAAACAACCTTGAAATGCCCCCAGGAAAAAAAATCACAAATTATAACATAAATATGCCGGGGAACTGAGAAATGTGGGGCACAGAAAGAAACACTGATCAACCCATGAAAGCTGGGGAGAGGAAAGGAGGAGAAATAACGACGTCTGGCGCTCGGAGGGGTGGTGGTGGAGCTGCCTGACAGAGGAAGTCAGAGGACAGGCCTGCCTAGGAGGGTAGGACTAGCTGAGCACGATGGGATTTGAAGAAGTTCCCTTTCTCCCTCCAGTCCAATGTCTCCTATGAGAAGGTGTTGAGGGGGCCCAGCTGCCTCTCACCTCGCCCCTGCACCTAGATCTTTCCAAGGAGGATCCACTCCTCTCCACGGATCTCAGGAACTCCTCTAAGTATTGGGTCAAAGACCCCTTGACCTCTGCTGTCACCTTCCATTGGCAAAGCTGCCTTCGTATAAGTTATGGCACAGCAGGGCTGCCGTTTGCTGCACCGCTGGTCTGTGACCAAGACCCATTAACGGTTTAGCATGGATAATGTTGTCAGTATGCTACTGCCTTGAACGGGCTTCTGCAGCACACACACATGCTCTCTACGGAAGAACAACCCTGTACAACGTGCTCCAGAGAAAACCTGAGAGCAGTGGTTTCAAGAGCTGCTCTTCAAGGTCATTCCTTCTTGCTTCTCCCTGAGCATGTCCCAGCTGAGGAACTGGTGGCTCCCATCTCGCCCCAGGACTCCAGATGTGGTGCAGACCCCATATTCTGTATGTGCCACTCGGACATACCGCTCCAAAAGCCACAGTGTGCAAAGGACCCTGCCAAGGCTGCTCTGCCTTCCCCCTGGGGCCCAGGGCTCCTGGGTGTGCAGGGCTCCATGCCAAACCTCCAGAGCAGCCTGGAAGGGCGGCCGCCCTGGGCTGCGGCAGGGTGCTGGCTCTCATCCCGGCTTTTCGTGCCGTTCAAAGGTTTTGCGCTGACCCGGGGACCGGCAGGCCTCCCCCAGCTCCATGAGTCTCCTGCAGGCTGTCTTCTCCGTCCTCCTCCATCCTTCCCCTCTTCCACAGCTTCTCTCCAGCCTCCGCAGCCCCCAGGACCGGGAGATTTCGCGGCGTGGCACTGCCACTTGGCAAAGTCTGTGACGAGCAGGGAAAGGGAGAGGATTAAGCCTGGACGCGGGGTGGGCTGGAGGACTGCCCCGGAGGAAAGGATGCCAGTGCGAGAGGACCTCGCGCATCCCGCCCCGCTGGAAATGTTCCCTGGCCTGTGCTAACTTCCCGCTCAAGCCGTGAGTTTAACAGCGCAGGCACACAGTGCCAGCACCTGGGAACCGTCTCGGGGGCCCTTTACTGCCAAGGCAGAACAGCAGCATTAGCTATTTCAGCAGTGCTTGTCCCAGCTCCTCCTGGCAGACCACAAGAGCCCGGACAGGGAACAGAGCTGCTGCTAAACACATGCCTCCCTCATGGCAGAGGGGACAGATCTTGTCCAGAAACCCTGCTCTCCTCTTTCAGGTATGGGCTTTGCACAGATGGGTTTTGAGATGTCCATCACCACCAGGCCCCTTCTTACAGCTATGATAAATAATCACAATGTATTACACATTCTTGCTGTGCTTCGAAAGAATATAGAAGTCCTACAAACAAGCAAATAAATATGAAGCTGTAATATCCCATCTAAAACACCACTCTTTGTCCAGGTTACTTTGGCAACTCATTTCCCCTTGGGGAAAAAAAATAAACAAGACATCCTCCAGCCTGTGAAGCAAATTGCCTCGGCAAAGCTCAGCAGGCAGAAACATCTGCGCTGAGGGACCGCATCTGAGATGAACTGCCCAGCTTGGGGGCTGCAGGTGCCGAGCTGCCCAAGCCCGTACCCTGCCTCTGCTCCGCAGAGCACATGGGCTGCTGCAGGGGAAGGGACTGGTGGGTTTAAATTGCTCGGGCAAATGGTTTATTACATGGAGCGCTTCAGCAGGTACAACCTTCACAATGTTAAGTGCTGCCAAAGCCGAGCTGGCCAGTTGGCTCTGAATTAC